AGCCCCACTCTCAGCTATCCCCTTGGCGCTCCCACTCGTCTGCCCCGGATGGGGGTTAAGCCAACACCGTCCGGTGACGAGCGGTAGAGACCTCTTGCAGCCGATCCTTACTCCGGGCTCCCACAACGACCACGCCCTCGTCACGGGGTCCCCCTTAAGTACCCCTCGGGCGGCTCCTCCCCCTAACTCGGACCCGCCTTTGTTCCCGGAAGGTACCCCCTTACAGCACCCGTGACATGACGTCATCCTCCGCTGTCAACTCGCTCGCACCTACCTCTATATGCCCTCTCATGGTTATTCACACTACTCCTCTACAAATGTACTTGCATCTTATTATTGCAAGCAACCTTACAGGGAACTTAGTATTCCCGTCTTTGCTCTACTATTGGTCACCTAATATACGAACCTATAGCCCATATTTTCAACCTGTCCATCAAAGAAGCATCAGTTCCTCTAGAATGGAAACATTCCTATGTCCATCCACTTCACAAAGGGGGCCCTAAAGATGATCCAGATAACTACCGACCTATCTCAATTTTGTCCCCGTTGATGAAATTTTTTGCAAAATTATTGAACTACCAAATTAGCAGTTTCCTGTCCACCAACAATTTACTGCATCTCAAACAATCTGGATTCCAGAAAAAATACAGCACCACATCTGCTGCATTAGACTCTCTGAATCACATTTACAGTAGCCTTGATAATAAGCAGTACTGTGCCTGTCTTTTTCTTGACCTGTCCAAAGCTTTCGATACAGTAGACCACAACACCCTGCTTAGTAAACTCAGTTTTTCCGAAAACGCAGTAAAATGGTTAAAAAATTTCCTCTTTCCTCGCACCCAAACTGTATTCACAGATGGTTGGAGGTCAAACTGTTAAGATAACAAAAGGGGTTCCACAGGGTTCCATCCTCGGCCCCCTCTTGTTCTCTCGATATGTCAATGACTTGGGCACTGACCTGGATCATTCCAGGGTAAATCTTTTTGCAGATGACACGATACTGATTACTGCTGGCCGCTCTCCGGATGACGTGATTGCCAAGCTCCAGGGTGATTTCAACAAACTACAACATCAGCTAGTTGCTCTTAAACTAGTCCTGAATACCTTCAAAACCAAGGTGCTATGCCTCTCACCAGGACTAAAGCAGGAAGTTATTTTCCCCAATTACAATCCTTAAATAATTATCAAATAGAGCAAGTCAAAATCTATAAGTATATCGGTGTCATCCTGGATTCAAAACTGAATTTTGAAGATTACATTGATTATATTGGTAAAAAGACAAAAATAAAAATTGGTTTTCTGTATCGACACAAGCACTGCTTCCCCCCTATGTTCCGTTTGGAATTTATAAAAGCTACCATACTGCCTCTACTTGATAACTGTGATATCGTGTATAAATCAGCCCCAAATAATGTACTGAAGAAGCTTGATTCCATCTATCACTCGGCCTCAAGATTTGCATTGAACTGCCCATATAGGACTCACCACTGTGATCTCTACATTTGGTCAAACTTAACATCTTTTAATGTTCGATGGCTTGTGCACCAGATCTTATTTATTCACGATGTACTTACAAAAAAATCCGCGGACTACCTGCTCCTCTCTGTTTCAAAGAACAAATTTGACCTCAGGTCTTCGCTCATTTACCAGCTTCACATTCCCTATTGCCGAACAAAAACTGGAGGAAGGGCCTTTGCTATTGATGCCCCCAGGGTCTGGAATGCTATTGCCAATAGACTGCAACTTTAATCACTACCTATAAGATCTTCACTCAAAACTGCTCTAGATGAGTTGTACACCCCTAGCTGCCACTGCTATTCAGTGGCCTAAAATAAAATGTTTCGCTCCGGATGACCGCTGCAAAGTATTATCTATATTTTGATTTAGTGTGCTGATCTTAAAGGTGCATTGAAAAATTTGATACTCCGACTGATGCTCCTGTTGTTGTGGAGTGACTCATGCAGCCAGCTATGGCTCTAGGGTTTGGTGTTACATGTTGTTTATGTCGTTTATTGTGAAAATTCGGTCACATTTCCTATGATCACTATTACATTGCTTTTATGGCTTTATTTTGGTGATGTCGAAAAGTTTTTTGGTTTGGCTATGTTTGTTTGTTGTAGTACGGAGTTAGACTGATGGCCTTAATCTAAGTTGTTGTGGTTGTTTGACTTGCATCCCACTGGTATTTTTGCACACAGCGTTGGTGTACGGTGCCTTTTCAGGAATAATTTGCTGTTTTTTCCTGGATTTTCTGTTTGCACAGTCACACATAGCCCCTTTAAGACGTTTTCTTGTTCATGTTTTTGTTTTTTGTTTGTTTTGGTTGCACCCGATTCAAGAGCCGAATGGCTCACTGGGCTATACCTAATAAATAAAACTGAAAAAAACTATTATTTGAACCAAGGTGTTAGATACGTGAGCTTATAAATCTTACTCCAGTAAGCAGACACATGGAACCGACATTTGTCCCTATGTTTACGCCTTTAATCATAATTGCTATTTAAGCAAATCAATCCTTTAATTGTGTGAAGTTATTAATAATTGGCTCTGCTATAGGTGAGAACATGCTTTCATGTCTACCAAAACAAGTTAGCATTGCGACCAATATATTCTTTATAGATGAGGCCTGTTACCTGTGAGGTAAAGATAAAGTGTATGGCAATGTGTAGCGTTAAACAAAGTGACCGCACAAAACACACAATGTATTTGATTTAAAAAAACGTAATTCATTTATATATGGAGGCAAGTACATGTGACCTATCTGGAAGCTATCTTTGTGTGCTATTTGCAGGTAGTAATTTGAGGCCCTGCCTTTACTTTGTTTGTAGTACTGTGCCTAGTCAAATATATTGTAAGTGACATGAATTGAGTGCAGTGTACCTGCACAGGAAAGATATCTAGGATGTCGGTGTGCTTTTGTTGCATACGTAGTCTGTAGATTCTCTGCAGCATAGCTCAAAATTGTATTGTGATTGTGTCTCCACACATGCAAAATGCGTGCTTTACAGCATGTAAAAATGATGCACTTTTAAGTTGACATCTAATGTACTAAAATGACTTTGAACTTAAATTGTTATATAATAGAATGCTACTGTAGACAAATACGCACATTTTTTAAAGACCTTTATATTTGTCGCGAAACAATTCTTATATAAAATTAACATACGGATCAGACAGGCTTTGAAACCTCAGGGTTTTAAAGCTTACATTCGGTCTTTTTAATAATGAACAAAAACAATATTTCAATGATAAAAAACACTTGTTTTAACCCACACACAGGCTTTATAGAAATCATGTAATCGTGAACAACTTATGTGATGCAAACTACAAGACGTTTAAACCATAACTCCTGATTGCATGCATTAACGTGTTTACCGACATTGTATTATTACAAGGACATTTCATTACAGTATTACATTTTAAGGTTTTATAATATGGAGTGCGTTATGTATTTTAGGCTATGTGCGAATTAACCCACAGAATTACAGTACGCAAATATACCCCTTTTATGATCCATGCTACAACAGAGGTCGATTTGAACAATGCTTAATGTCAGTTTCTAGAGCATTGTGGGTGGATCACAGTGTGAAACCTATGTGAGATAACCAAATTATCAGAGCTACACAGAGTAAAATATCACTTTGGAATATATTTATTGCTCTAAAAGTAATAATTTACAGCACTTAAAAATAGAGTTTGTGTTCACAAAGACCTCATTTTATGCGATGCATGGCAATGCCTCAAGACGTAGAAAGCCAAAAGCGTGATTTAAAAAATGTGCTCGACCCAATTATTCACCTTCACAAGCGTTTATATAGCTTTGGCCTTTTTCCAGTCTTTTTAAGTGTGTTAGTGAGATGCAAAATTAAATAAGCTCTGAGAAATGATGCAGTACTCTCCCAATGTGAGCAAAGCTGCCTCGCAGCTTGCCATGATTAACACAAAGTTTCTGAATCATGTGGTTCACCTTCACTGATTAAGAGAAAAAAAATAACATCACGATCTACTTCCACTTTTCAGAGGATAAGGATAATCCTTCAAAACCTTTTAACGTCATTAGTTAAAATACGAGAAGACTGGATTGCATTTTGCTTAATATTTGGAAAGTGAATTATCATACTTAAAAAAATAATTGCAGGTCATGCACAGAATGTAATGTTTCAGATTCTTATACATACAGGTAGTCCTCCACTTACGATGGAGATGCGTTACGACGACCCCATCGTAAGTAAAAAATATCGTAAGTCGAAGATGACCCTAGCCTACCCAGGAGTCTTAAAGAATGGTGATAATTTAGCAAAACAGAGCAATTCACAGTAGCGTACTGTATAAACTATATACTGTATGTATTTATTAATTACAATACTGTATTGCACAGTAAAATATAAAGTAAAAAAAAACAAGGTACATTCTTAGCCTACCTATATGAACTGCAATTTCATAGAAAGTTTTTTTCAGGAAACAATCCTGTCTGCTATAAAAAAAACTTTTAACATGCATTGAACGTACCGTATCGTGGGAACCCTCAAATGAAATCGCTAAAGCTACGTATCATACATGCATTGAACGTATCGTAACGTATCATATTGTACTGCACTCGCTAAGATTCGTACGCTGCTGCGTTTGCCTGCCGCGCGAAATTTAAAATATTTTACAATTTTGTCGCATCGCTATCGCCATCGTAAGATCGAAATATCGTAAGTCGGACCCATCGTAACTCGGGGACTACCTGTACATGGCTTGGGTCGCACTGGTAGCAGAGTGCCCTCGTCTCATAACCAGGGAGTGAGATCAATATCTCGGTCAGGGTTAATGCTACGGTTAATCAAATACGAGTCTACAATGCGTGTCATATGGATGCTCCCACGATAAGAATATGGCATTTTATACCACTAAATGAATATTCATTTCGCCTTGCACTGAGATGGCAACGCGGTATGATCATCAGTTGGGACTGTTTTTGCACGTGCTCAAATGAAACCTCCCCCTGTTTTTCGCAGTGCGTATAGAAGGCACGCGGTCTACGATTTCTGCAGAAGATGACATCGCTGATGGCAGTAGCCCTGTTCCACTGGCCAATGCGAATGGAATCGGCAGTGCCTGCCCTTTACCCGAGCAGCTGTCGCACCTCGCCGATGCCTCGAACAGGAGCGCTTCTCAAACAGCTGGACTAAGGTGTACAGAACTCTGTTTTATTACTCGCATTACATAACCACAGCGGTAAATGTAAAACATTTATTCAAAAACATTACCATCATCGTTCTTGACAAACGCTGGCTACCAGCCCATGTATTCCAACCGCCACCAATGCACTACCTTAAAATATACTCATCACCCATTATTAAATAATTTGTAACAGGATAGAAGTTTCAACTGTTCAATTGCTGGCAACATATTATTTAGATACTTTTATAGATTACGTGTTTTCTGTTCGTGTTAAAGTTGTTTTAGATATACATGTATAGAGATGTTTTATTAATCATAATTGAATTTTGTTGTGTTGCACATGGATACGCTATGGTGAGCCCTCCTGTTTATACTAATAATGTACCAACATATAGCAAGGTCTTTTTTTCTATTGTTTTAATTAACACACCATTAGTTAAGAAAGGTGCCTTGGAACAAACAAACACAACGTTAGGTATACGCATTCACAGCCACACCAGAATATTAAATTAGTCGAGATGCATTGCAACTCCCGTGGACATTCATTAAACCACAGCATTTGGCCATTAATTGCTAACAGAGGTTGTCCGATAGGTTGGCCTCTTCCATCGGAATATTGAAATTCCACAGATACCGCATGGGCACCGATAGAGATGAACAACACATGAGCATGGATTAAAACAATATATAATTTAATTGACTGACGCTGAGAAACAAATCTTATTGTGGCCTCCACGTCGCAGCTCCAGCGACGTCACCGTGGACCGGGACAGCGGTCCAGGCGAGTTTCCACCCAGAGCGGCTCAGCGGAGAGAGAGAGCGGCCACCGGCGCAGTCAGCGGCCAGGGCCACGACGGGGAGTCGGAGGAAGAGCGTGCAAAGCGGTTCCTCTACTGCTCGCTGTGCAAGGTGGCCGTCAACTCCCAGTCGCAGCTCGATGCCCACAACAAAGGTGGAGACGCTCGGGAAAGACACGCGCACCCATGCCGAAATGGTGCCTTTAGCGAGCGGGCGCTTGAGAACGCCCGCGCGGTTGTGTTTCGATGTTTGTGTTAGGTGCAGCACAACGATTGTTATCAGTCGCCTTTGCAAATACGTTTGCTCGCACATGAAGCCGTCAACTGGATTTAAAACTTATCGACATTGGTTCACGATCGCTCGGCAAATTACATCCGTGCGATAGAAGTGGCCTTATCTGTAGCTCCAAATGTCTGAAAGGCCTGGGCAATCTGGGATTATTCCCGGATTACCAAAGGATGGGAAGAGCACATACAATGAGGTGCTAGATTAATCCGACCATCCACGGATAATAAAAATAATGATGGATGACCGATGAAGATGACGATAAAAATTTGTGATAACCATCATCCCTGCTCCATTACATTGTTTGCCATCACAGCTAACGCCAAGGCTGACCGTGATAATTGGTGAAGGGTATAATGGTCATAATTCATTACCTTCGTGATCACCAGTCACTGCCACTCAAACTGATTACCGGTATAGGCAATGGACATCACCCAGAGAGAGTGGCAACTTGACACGAGTCAAACAGCACTGGCCACTAGACACCAGGTGGGAGATGCAGTACAAAAGGAAACCTCGGGGGATATGATTATTTTACAAATCATGAACATGGAACAAAAGCTGAATGGTGTGCAAAGTAACATGGACAGGTGCATGTTTGGAGTTGCACTGAAAGACACGAGGATAAAACACATCAATAAGAAACAAGCGTGATTAGACATCGTATTGATTTAAGACGAGCGAGCTTGGGCAGAATGCATCGTCATCAGGGGGCTGATGGCTGTTGGCTGAAACGAGTGATGTGGTAACGTGCCTGAGAGGAGATGAAACAATGAAATCAACTCGTGTGCAGGAGCGACATGGATTGTTATCATCGCAAGACCATGTGATAGCCACAGCTTGTGGAGGCCATCATTCAGCGGTGGATAGATCATGACTGCTGCTGATGATGATCTCGATATTCTTCATTAGAGTGGTGGAGCTCGACTGCTATCAGAGATAGCAGAAAGAATAAAACAGGGATAGAGAATGCACAGAGAGAACAGAGTAGAGGTGGGACAGACAGAAGCAGAGGTCCACTGACCAAGGCTGGCACGGCCCGGTTTTATTCATTCGGGTTTTAATCGGTTTTTATATAAAACTGGAGCACCTGGGGTCCTGCCCAAATCCGTTTTTATTCGGTTTGATTAAAGTTAAGTCTGGATTTCAGTCGCACGCACCCATTAGCGGCGTTCGGGCCGGGGCCCGGGCTCAGCCGCCGTGCGCGCCCAGCCAGTCGACGACCCGCGCAAGGAGCAGCTTATACTTGGAGTACACACAGTTCAAGATCGCGGCGACGAAGGAGAAGACGCACAAATCCTTTCGCTTTCAGCTCCTGGCCAAGCGGAGGAAGACCCCACTAGAGTGGTGGCTGACCGACGGCAGCGACTATCCCGTGCTCCAGAAGATGAGCCATCAAACTGTTCAGCATGGCCACGTCGACCGCTGCGTCTGAGCGAAACTTCTCGACGCTGGGATTTATCCATTCCAAGTTGAGGAACAGCCTGGCGCCCAGCACAGTCGAGAAGCTCGTCCTCTTCTTTGGTTCTTTCGGTAAAGTCACGTAGAATGAGAATAAAATAATAAATTGATAAAATAAAATAACACAATAATATTCTCACGACGTTTCGGCCACAACACAAGCGGCCTTCATCAGGTGAAGGGACGAGACTGTCTGGTAGGACAGCGCTGGAGTGAAAGAGCCACGTTCAGATCACGGCCTTTAAGCTTAGAGTCGCGGCATCTCTTCAGAAAGGTGAGAGACTCGATTAGTTGAGCCTTCTTATCCCGAAGTCTGTTGAATGATCTTAAGGATGTGTGGAATCCCTCCCCGTAGAGGCGGTTAAATTTCGATTTAAAGCTTTCGTGACTGCAATGATTCATCTTCTTTGGTTCTTAGAGTCAACAGACTTCGGGCGATGCCACACAGGCTGATATGACGCTATGTGCCTTTTCAGCCCACGGTGCCTATTTGGTTTGAGACACTTTGGCAAAACTGCTCTAAATTCACAACGTGCGTATCAGCCTTGAACAGAAAAAAAAAACGGGCAGCTGACGCCAAATTTTGTATTATTATTTATTACTAATATAATACTCTTTGGGTCTTTCGGTAAAGTCACGTAGGTAGACAAATAATAGCTCACGACGTGTTCGATCGCAACACAAGCAATCGTCTTCAGGTGAGAGAGAGCAAGCTACTGAAACAAGGTCTTATATAGGCCTGAGATGAGGGCTGGGCGAGAGATGGCCTCCCTGAGGCTGTGTAAGCGGCCATTGTATTGTGAGAGATTTAGATGTCAATGATGCATCGGTGGCAGATCGATTAGGACATCCAGCCTGTCAATACAAAGACATCCAACCTAGTAATGCAACTCAGAGAGTCGGCTAACATCTACAGGAGGGATGGAAACATCACAGCAGGTGAAGACTTTACCTGGTTAATCACATCCTCCCAATGATTGCTCAATTTGTACCCATCTTCTCGTTTGAAGTTGTGTCTGTGTTTATATATCTGCATGGCTTCATGAACAAATCTTTGATGATAGCCAGTGGGTTTGCATCGTACCTTCGTCTTGTTAAAATCTATTTCACGTGAGCCCACAGCCAAGAATGTGTATGTGTCCTGTGCATGACGTCACTCCACATGAGGTTCCCCTCATTAATAATCATGAGCGTGTGACGTCACTCCACATGGAGGACCCCCTTCGTTAATAATCATGAGCCGATGACGTGAGGCATCCCCCCCCCCCCCCCATTATCATTAGTAGGTGACGTCACTCCACATGGGGCAACCCCGTCATTAATAATCATGAGCGGATAACGTCACTCCATGGAGCTCCCCCCTCATCAATAATCATGAGCTGATGACGTCACTCACGTGGACCCCGCCCCCACCCCCTCATTAATAATCGGTATATATATTTCGATTTAAAGCTTTCGTGACTGCAAGGTTTCATCTTCTTTGGTTCTTTCGGTAAAGTCACGTAGAATGAGAATAAAATAAAAAAATAAAAAAATAACACAATAAAATTCTCACAACGTTTCGGCCACAACACAAGTGGCCTTCATCAGGTGAAGGGACGAGACTGTCTCGAGGACAGCGCTGGAGCGAACACAGCCAAGCTCAGACCGCGACCTTTAAGCTGTGTGAGAAGAAACAGAGCGCCTTGACAAAGGAATTAGCATAAAAATTAGCATGGGATTGACTCTTAATACCTCTCACACCACGGTTAATGGTATGGTTTACAACATGGAGTATAACAGCGCCTCGCAGCTGTCTCTCTCCCCCTCCTCCGTTCCGACCATGGATGAACTCTTCCGTCTGAACGGGGCTCGTAGCTATCCGTGGTGCTAAAGTTGAGGGTAAGAATCCACCCATTTTTTCGCCATATAGCATTGTGATATATAACGACTTATTGTGGGTAGCTTAGCTGATTGGAGAATATATAGAGTTTATTGATAACATTGAGGTAGTTTATATTTTAATTTTATGGGTTTACTATATGGTATTCATTATATAGTGTAGTGTATACCCAGTTACTGTTAATAGCTCAGCTTATTGAAGAATATATTGAGTACATTTATTATATTGATGTAATTTAGACTTGGGTTTTTTTTCACATCGGTTTACTATATGATAGTCGAGTGGTTGCAGCCCCCTTTTGGCGTCCATGTACTAGGTGCCTCTGTAGATGTGTAGGCTTTGACTTTAACATAGCTATTTCTATGACCAGTCACAAGCTAATCACTTAGTTATTTCAATGCTAAATTCTCCTGTTTGATTTGTACTAGGTGCCTCTGTGGATGTGTAGGCTTTGACTTTAACATAGCCATTTCTGTGACCAGCCACAAGCTAATCACGCAGCTATTTCAATGCTAAATTATCCGAACCAAACATTAAACTAATTTTCAATGGTACAGTATATTTTTTCAAGTAGTGGTATCCCAAATTTTCGCAGCAGCTTAAATTCCCTTTTCACACCATCAATATGTAAACTCCCCCTCCCCCCCTCGCCGGTCTGCGCATGTTCACCCCCTCTACACCGTTCATCATGCTAAGTCCGCCAATTAAATGCTAATTTTTATGCTAATTCCTTTGTCAAGGCGCTCTGTTTCTTCTCACACAGCTTAAAGGTCGCGGTCTGAGCTTGGCTTTGTTCGCTCCAGCGCTGTCCTCGAGACAGTCTCGTCCCTTCACCTGATGAAGGCCACTTGTGTTGTGGCCGAAACATCATGAGAATTTTATTGTGTTCTTTTATTTTATTATTTTATTCTCATTCTACGTGACTTTACCGAAAGAACCAAAGAAGGTATATATATTCTTGGTTCTTTCGGTAAAAGTCACGTAGAAGGGAAACAATAAAAAAAAGTAAAACGGTAAAATTCTCTCACAACGTACATAAATCATGAGCGGGTCATTATTTTCTCCGATTGAATACTTTTTTGATGAACTGCAATACATTAGCCAAAAAAAACAAACCCAAGAACATGTCCTTATTGTTGACGCGTTAGGTTCTAAGCACAAGATGATGATGGAGGCTCGCAATGGCGGGGGAGCCATCAAGGCCTTCCCCAGGCTGGGCTCTCGGCCCGCCTCCGCAGAGGCCAACCTTCCCAAGGGCTCGGGCCTCCAGGATAAAACCTTCTACTGCGAGATCTGCGATGTCCACGTCAATTCGGAGACGCAGCTCAAACAGGTCAGCCGCTCGTCAAGACGGGCGAGTGCTCGGACTGCTTTGCGCGCTCTTCGTGCCCTTCAGTAGCCCGCGACCGATGATTGGTTTTTTTGTTTGTCTTACGAAAGCGTTTTTTTATTTTTTGCGCGACTTAACTCGCTGACGTGAACCTCTTGTTCATAGCCGTCAAACTCGAGCGTTGCATTGTTGTGCGAAGAAGAGCCATGGGCCCGCGATGTTGCATATTATTTGTTGTTTCTCCTATTAAGGCAGACTTACTGATCCCTAGTTACACCATTAAAAAAAAGGCAATAAACACAGCGTAAACTTTACAGAGTCCAGAGAGGTCGTGGTTGGAAGGTTGCAAGTGCACATTCAGGTCAAGGGGTCGACTGAGCTGGTCATCCTTCAGGTGTGGTCAGTGAAGTTAATTCTATACCATTTTGTCGGACCTATTATCCAATGGAGAGGTGACTGGTCCCTGCAATGGGACTGGATCTTCCACGATTGAATCCAGATCGTGATTGTTATATGAGAAACCACCAATGGCTCATTTGAGCATGGGTACATAGACCGACCTTTGTTTCAATAATAAATACTTTAAATCAAAGAGGAAGCATCACATGATCCTTATGGTGGTACCCCGAGATACCAAATAATATAAACTGGCCGAGGCAATTAAATATGTTATTTCTGGGACACTATTTTGTCCAGGGGTGTACTTAACTCCGCGATTGGGGTAACCAATCAATCCCAATCAGTGCCACACTCTGCGATGTCGAAACACAGCGAGGACGATTGCGCTGAAACCTTGAACACTCGCACGCACCGTAGCGGTGCATCGTGTACAGCTCGTCGAGATGAGTCGATTGCCGCATTGCCGACCATCAACAGACTAAAAATGACTGCATCACGGACATTATGCGAGAGCCGGGGTACTATGGTACTCTGGAGTACCGCCATATGGTTCACATTTCCTTTTTTTCTATAACTCCATTTTCACTTCATAAGGTTGGGTGTCAAAACTTGTCAGATACGCAGTGCAGACTCTTTAACTGAAGAGGTGTTGGTTTAGCTTTGTGATAGTGGGTTAGGCGGTAATGCCACAAGGCCTAATAGATCATTTTGTCACTATTCTCTTGCACCACACAAGGAGTGTGATGCAGCTCGAATAGGCTTTGTAACTTGAGATTAAGATGTTACGTCTCAGCACGTACCGAGATTGCACAGTTAGACACTGTTTTAAGGAAATCATTGTCTATAATGTAGTTTTTAATCCATAGTGTATTCCTGTATTTCTCATCGTAATTCATCTTCCACAGAAAACTGGATACAATTGGGTTATCACTGGACATTTCCCTATCGCTCCCAAATAAAGCGTGTAAATGACTGAACTACGTGTTGTGGAGTTAAGACGTTTAAAACAATCTAATCTTCACGATCGAAACATTGTACATGTTTTTAGTCGAATAAATATGAGCCTTTTTATGTAAACGCTCAAAGGAAATACGTGTAATGTGTCTGTGCATAGCATATTACAAGCCGAAGACACAAGGACCGAATAGCAGGCAAGCCCATTAAGCCAAAATTCTCTCCTTACAACAAGATTCAAGGACATTCCAGCTCAGTGGGGGTAAGTCCACCAACATTTTCTATACATAGAACAACAAAATAGCAGTACGGCTTGTTCATCATTATACACTTCCTAATACATATTAGCATTAATGAGGAACAATGAGAGGAAAGTATGTGGCGCTTTGCCAAATTCAATGTCTTGCAGTGGCAAAATTGTACGTGTGTAATTTAACGTGTCATTTGAAATTTGTAAAAATAACCCCCAATTATTAATCTGTTGCATTTAATATTATTACAATGTTAACCACATCAACAGCTTCAGCCATGATTGCATCTTGATAATTTTAACTTCAGTATATAATTGCGTTTTAAAATGATTGCCATTCATCGGCTGGTTGACCAATTAAAATGTTCTCTTACGTTAAACTTTCCTGACTGAGCAATCAAGAGGCTAAAGTCTCTTTATTGAGCTGCGAAACAGCAGAAACAATCCTCTACCCAATTATAAAACTGATGCTATGCATTCAACTCCCATCGCCTTGATAAACCCAGAAGTATAAATGGGTACACCGGAGTCGATCGACAGGTCACAAGGGTTGGAGGATGCCTGCTGTATATTTGGATTTTTCTCCCGGTCATCCGGTTTTTCCCTCCGGATTTAGAAACTTGCGTTTGACAATATTTGGCTGCTGTACATTTCCACGTGATAAGCCACTTCGTTGAGCTATAATTTGTGGCCATGTTGCATCTAAAAAAGAGCTATATAGCTCTGGGCTTTACCTAGTAAATTAAAAACATGTTTTATAGTTTAGTTAAAAAAGTGTGGGTACTCGCACCTCTTCAAAGATGTCTGGCTAGGATGGAAGAGTTAGGCCAAATACCCTCCAGAGCTGCTCTTTTGAGCTCCATCTAGTACAGACCCTAGAGTTTATATATATATACACATACATTGAGAATATTCGGCACTTCATTGCACAACCCCCCCCCCCCCATTTCCCTGCAGGGAAAACTGCCTCCAGGATTTCTGCCGACGTCCCTCGCGGGCGTGAGGGATCCACTGGGCCTGCATGGGGCTCTGGGCGCCGCGGCTCCGCCAGCCTCCACCCTGACGTTCCACGTGGCGGCAGCGGCTCCGCCGCCGCCGCTGCTGCGTGCCGCCCCGGGGCCAATCCGCAGTTCTCACCGGTCAATGCTGTTCACACCCTACTGAGCCCTCGCCGGCTTCTGGAAGCCGGCTGCGAACGGTCAAAATTCGTTTTAAACGTTTGGGTGGCCAACCTCCTGAAGTACAAAACTATATAACAAACAAAAAAACCCAGGACATGTCAATGGAAAGAAGAATATGTTAAAATACTAGAAGAGGGGAGAACTACATGTAAATGCTTTGTCTTGAGTGCTGTATTATTATTATGCAACTGACAAAAAGCTGGACTTTTAATGCCCTGGGAAGACTTGTGTATTTCCCAGGACAGCTACCTCGACGGTGAGGGTGATCCTGGGAAAACCAAGGCAGGTGGAAACTTTATTTAAACTATGCCCGTGAAGCAACCACATCGGTGTTGTAAAGCGCAGTACACGTGTTGTGGTTTGTTACAGAGCAACAGTGATTACAGGCAATCGTAATTGCCTATCATTGCTTTGGGTTCCCCACCCCCACCCCGCCCCCCGTATAGTGTCAATGGTGATCACAATGCGCTGTAGTGATGGCTTGTTGTGGCCTTGTCGATGGACCAATTGGAGACACAACTATGATGTGACGTTCCTGCTCAGATGCCCTTATACCCCTGCCATGTAATCACTCTGAGAAGTGACATCAGGGTCAGTCAGTGATATATTGTATTCTACTTGAGCCTACATGGGCTCCTTAATGCGTTCGACCTGGTCAAAGTTGGCCATAAACGTAAATGGAGAGAATACAAGCAAACGAGGTATTTCATAGACATATGTAGGCTTCAATAATGTCATTCAGAATTTACATTACAGCAGACATCAAAATAATAAAGCAAAAAACACACCAAATAAGAGAAGTAATAAAACCTAAGAATTCATATTAACCGTTTTTCAATCTTTAATATATTGTTTATAATGTTATTCAATCTTTTTTTATTGTATATTTATCTTCACTGCTATCATCGTTATATATATATTTTGTAACGTGTTCTTTTTGTCTTGCTCCTTTGTGTTCGAATATGATTCTACATCTTTGAAAAAGATCCCCCGTATAGGCTGAACAGACTGTAGGGGCAAGTGCTGTTAGCGAGCACCTATGAAGGCCAGCACGATACACGAGGGGGTGGGTGACCAGCACCACGCCCGACCGCCTTTGTCTTCCTAGTGGCGATGAATTTACACCGCACCAGGTACTCATTTGAGGCTGAGTCGACCTAGGGGAGGCCCAGGACCGGTTCAGATAATCGTCACTTGGGTCGCAGCAGCTCACAAACTGCTACGCGACCGCTCCCCACACACAGCCTGATTGGTCAGTTCTGTCTGCGTGCAGAGTGCCAGGGGTAGAACACCCTTGCTCCTTCCCTGCCTTATGACTGTAATGGTGCTTCATCCATTTCGTCTGTATGGACGTATGTATGTTGAACTTCTATCGCACCGTTACATATCCAACCGTGCGAATGGGTGGTGCGGAGATCGTCTGGCGAATTGATGGGAGTTACTATGTGAAACACAAGCTGTGCATTAATTCGGACCAAAAAAGTCGTCATGCTAAATGAGCGTTGGGCACGGCTCATCTTCTTTCTCCAACACCAGCGGTCGGCAACCAAAAATAACAGAAAGATAAATTTATTTCGAATTTGGTGGGGGGGGGGGGGACCCCTCAATATTTCAAGAGTCGCAATGCACCGTGTGGTGCAAGGCCGTAGCCATGGAGTCAACATTGGGGGGGACAAAATCTTCCAGGGGGTCTGAGGGTCCCCCCCCCCCTCCAGAAAAAAATCTAAATTTGAAAACGAATTTCCTGCCATTTCCCGCCTATAATATAAAAAAAAATCACTAACACATGAGATGGACTTTTACTTCTTTTTTACAATGTCTAACAGTGTATTGTATTACATTGCTGTTTTTTACCTTTTCTTGTTTCATTGTATATAATGGCAAAAATTAGGGATTAATAAAGTACAACCATAACCACAATCATATAAACAGAAATCTATTTAATTGCAATATATTGGGGGGGGGGGGACATTTTGAGCATATTTGCATCCCCCCCAATATATATTATAATTACGGCCTTGGTGTGGGTCCTTAATAAATGATGCCACGAAGCAGCAGTCCTTAAAGAAGCGCATGCGGCTCTGGGGGGTGGACGTTGCTGACCCCTGTCCAACAGAGTTCATGATGGAAATTCCATATTTCTATTGCAAAAGACTACTTCTTTTGAAAAGGCAGTCAGTCTCTTGACAATCAACAGCATTTTTTTTTATTTAAAGCTTTCGTGACTGCAGTAATTCATATTCTTAGTTCTTTCGGTAAAATCACGTTGAAGGGAAACAATAAAATAATAAAATATATATAACAATAAAAATTCTCACGACGTTTCGACCATAACACAACACCTGATGACGACCGTTTGTGTTATGGTCGAAACGTCGTGAGAATTTTTATTGTTTTATATATATTATTATTTTATTGTTTCCCTTCAACGTGACTTTACCGAAAGAACTAAGAATATGAATCAACAGCATGTCACTTGTGTCATTGACCCCGTAGTAATATCAAACAGAGTCGATCCCTGAATGACTTGTTAAAACACAACCTTCTGACGGTGTGTTGCAAACTCCCGTCACATTGCCAGCTACCATCATTTCAACACTTTCGTATGAAGCTAATTTATAGCCAATTCAAATATACGCTAAGACATTCGATCAAACGTATGTCATTCGGATTCATTTATCTTGCCCACAATCGTGGCAGATTAAAATGTATGCCGATTCGGTGCCATGTTCCCACGACATCAATTGTTGGGCAAGAACCACAAATGATTTCCAGGCGATTGTTTTCTTCCATCACTGATGAAGCAGTTTCTAAAAGTGAAAAAAACAACCTTGGTCTGGTGTCAACAGAGAGCAAGCAGTGTCTTGCACGTGCAGTGCAATATAACACTGTGGCTCACCCCGTGTCAGTCCTTCTGCCAGGCTCAATTGTTTTGTTACGAGTGTGGGTGGGACTTTTATTAAGACTAGCATCTGTTCCAAAAGAAATCCCTCGTGTAGTGTTCGTCACGCACGAGCGAAATGTAATTATATCGGTGTAAATTATGTTTAAATGTGTGCTTAATGACGAGTAGAATTAAACGATGTGTTCTGTAACTATTGAAATTTACAATTACGCTCCCGAATACGTTTTGGTTCTTAAAGACATGCTTTTTTTTCATGCAAATGTTATATTTACCGATATTAGTGTATGTGTGGGACGGATTCCTGCTTTTTGTTTTTATGAATTTAACAAAAAATGGGCCTGGATATGATTCGCACCCCCCCCCCCCCCCCCCCGCATAGAAAATTTGATGGCAAGTGAAGAGACGACCTTCGTGCTTTCTGCACCAAAAGTGGTGTCACGTGGTATCGCATGGCATCTCTTTTGTCAGCACGAAGACGAGTAAAACGATTACGTCATGTAAAAATGTGAGAGAGATATAAAAAAAGAGCTTAAATTGTCGTTAAATATATCTGAAATCCCAAAATTGTTGAATCTGAAAGTCATCCCGAATATTCATGTATTCTCTTCGACGGTGTACACGTATATATGAATAGAAAATGTATTTAAAATAAAATTAAAATATATATTTATTGTACGGTGTAAATTATTGTGGGTACCTTGTTTGGCTTTATTTTACCATTGAGCATATTGATTAAGTGTTTGTACGGTGAATGCTATTGGCCAGGTTTGTGAAGGGAGCGATTTCCATTGTTTTGTCGAACACGCTGCAGAGCGTTCCCCCCCCCCCATCCCATTCAAGAGAGCAGTTTGAGAAACATGTTGCCAGCAAACGAACAACATTACAACTTTAAGTTATGGAGAGTCTGCACAGAGGAGAGCAACGAGGATGGCGGGTGGAAACAAACACGCAGATGGTATAACACGGAGTGCCACGAGGTTACTGATGATTCATACTCGGTCTCAAACAGACGGAAGTGGGAAAAGAGTCCTCCACTCATCGCCTTCAATGTCAGCCTCGCCAAAATACCCTCCCAAAAAATTGTTGACTTAAAAGCCAACCTCCAATTAGCACGGTTGGCTACGTACGGTGCGAAAGAAGTTCAACATAATTGCATAACACACGCAATCCATGTTTATCCCATTGTAAACCCCGAGGCAACACTGGGGGAGGGGAAGGAGATTTCTCACCCCATACCCTCGTGAGAAACGCATTGCTCTTTGACAAATTTACACGTGGAGAAGAAGCACACTCGGAAGCAGAATCTGTATTTATAATGGCGGAGCTATAAAGCTCTTTTTCACAGGTGTCAGTAGGGACGGGTGAGAATGTTACAACAACAAAAATACAAAAACATGATAGTAGTGCAAAGTGCAAGGTAAACATCACATCTATTGTATAATCCCGGCGTTCCGTTTGTCCAACTAAATTATAAGAGCCTTTCAGATGGCCTGAATTAAATGTATAGAAAGTGGACTCCCAGATATGGGGGTTAAAAGTTGATCCAAAAGCCCAAAGCCAGCGGTTGGAATATTCCACATTTATGGTAGGGGCCAGTCTCATTTAAAGACAGTCACTGTCGATTTCCCACCCCTCAAATTTGTATTTGCAACCTTCTAATTCTGAGCCACGTGCTCTGCCGCAGCACCACTTGGGCAGATAATAACTTAGGCTACATGTTTTATTTTCCATATTTGCCTTACAAAACTAAAACGTCGCAGCAGGGACACAGCAGGGTTGTAGTTTTTTTTTTGCCACGCACTTACATGACATCCCGTGCACTTCCCGTGCCCACGTTTGTAGAGGAAAGTTTTGAAAGGTAATTCGTTGAACGGAGTGATGAGCGATTGGCCTTTGCAGTCGACAATGTCCATTGGGCATTGCTCTGTCATTGACTTTTAATTACAGGTCACGCGTGGGGTCAATTCATTTGGAAACGCTGAACTTGCTCGCTGTTTTCCCAACTGCTACGAACATAACATTTTGTAATTTGCTTGAAAGCACAATGGGCAAATCTCCACGCTCTAATTTATCGTGTGACAATATTGTGTTGGAGGACAGGAAACTATTACTCAGATTAAATTGTCATGACATCTCTCGAAACTTAATATTAAAATTCCCATAAACGTTAAGCTAAACTATTCATGGAGCTTTAGAACAATTTCAAGAGTTGTCCTACGTGTCAACCCATATGGGTTACCCATATTCTTGAACATGGAAATTGAGTTTTCAGGTCCATACGGCATAAAGCCGTTTCAAGAAGGGCAAAAAAATGTGTTTATGCTTCTCCCTTGTGATGGGACTTTGTAGGATGAACGTTGAGATTTATACGGGGTGACCAATAAGGTCTGAATTGGTCTGAATAAGGTAGGCGCTGATAAGGGATGGACATATATGAGTTGTCTACATGGTGTATGTTGAAGTTCAAGGATTTTTTTTTGGCTCTGTGTTCTTTGCATAACTTGGTGTGCTTTCTACACGAGACGGCTTGGAAGCAGCAGCATGCAATGTGTACAAAGCAATTTGTAAAACTTCTTGAATAAAATTCATCGTCATGTCACTGTCTGTCCACTGCTGGATAGAGGCCGCCCCTCGCCATTGCCATTCCTCATGGTCCTGGAACGTTATAATGCTCAGTCCTGCACATGGAGGGATCTCATCGACCCATGTCTGCCGTGCTCTCTCAGTGTAATGTATGCATCCTTTTGAACCTCTTTCGACAATTTTCAGCTTTTGGTCCAAATGTTTAAACCCATGTCGTCCATGGGTTACACTCAGCCACCTTATCAGAATCAGAATATCTTTCCTTGGGACATGCGATGAGCTGTGAAGCTCTTTTGCTCAGATGTCCAGTAGGTGCGGGTCAGAAAGTTACCACAGCAAACAATACAAAAAAACGATAGTAGGGCAAAGTATAGGAAAGGTAAGCACATCACTAAAATAAATAACTTTTACTAAACTATATTTAATTTATCAAGCAAAGCCCACTGAGCTATTAGTTCCTTTTCAGAAGCGACCTGACCACACATGATAGCTTAACAAAGTGGCTTATCGCGTGGAAATGTATAGCAGTCAAATAATCTAAATGCATACTTGTCCTCAGCTACAGTAGCTTCCGTGGTAGATGCGGTTAATGTTTTTCCTTCATAAGATCTGACAACACAGCTACACTCCCTTGACGCCCATTCACCCCCCCTCGCCAATCTTAGAACACACCTCCTCCAACTTGTAAAATGTTTACGCTTCCAATAAAGACTTAATTTGGGTCTTTCTTGTGACGCGCAAGCAAGCCTACACTTGACAAGGCCTCAGAGTGCACCAAGCCTGACGAAAATGCAATTATGATAGCACCACCACTTAGTGGCAAACATCAATTGTGTGTATTAGACATTAGTACATCTGCAAAATATCTGGACTGGGATACACTCCCAACCGTTTGTTTTGACAAAAAAACACAACAACATGAGCAATTGATTCAGGCCAACAAATAAACATTTCTAAGGTCACTTGTAAGGTCACTATCATGTCTCGTTCACGTCTTTCTGTCGCTACAAGTGGCGAGAGGCCATGGACCTTGCTCCCACGTGACACTAACACATCAGGAGAATATTAATAGCCGGGGACTTGGCAAGGAAGCGGTATCAGCCTTAAAGCAACTATTGTCAAGAAGATGCTATTCAACTGATCCACCCGGGAGCAGATGTTGACATTAACAACGTGAATACATATGCCAACAGTCACGACAGAACACACAGATTCTGAAGCACAACTTATACGACACCATTTACATTGCCGTAATAAATTCCCACTACTTTTACACAGTGTTACAAGAGGGCAGTTCAGAACAATGTTTTACTGATGTTTACATAAACATGTAAATAAAAAATTGGGATTCAGGGGCTCTAATTTAATAGAGAATTGCGTAAGCATTGCTATATCAGCCAAGTACTGTAGTTTATTTCGCATTAAAACATTCGCAATGTGGGAAGGAAAAAGC